ATGAAAAAGCAATTCTTGGGGGGAAAAGGATGGGAGGCGTCACATTCCCCAACCTCAGACTGTACTACAAAGTTGTAATAATTAAAACACCATGGTAGTAGAAAAAAAGACAGATCTGCAGACCAATGGATTAGGGTTGAATATCCTTACACACACCCTCAAATATATGGTCATTTAATCTTTGATAAGGGAGCAAGAAAAGCCTCTTTAACAAGTGGTGCTGGCAAAACTGGACAGCTACATGCAAAAAATGGGCTCAGACCTCTACCTAACACCATGCACAAAAGTTGTATCAAAATGAATTAAAGACCTCAACATCAGACCAGAATACACTGAAGAAAGGGTCAGCAAAATCCTTCATGATATTGAAGCTAAAGGTATTTTTAAAGATGAAACGCCACTGACCAAGCAAGTAGAAGCAAGATAAACAAATGGGACTACCTTAAACTAAAAAGCTTTCACACCTCAAAAGAAAAAGTGACCAGGATACAAAGACACCCTACAGAATGGGAAAGGATAATCACCCAATACCCTTCTGATAAGGGATTAATATCAAGGATATACAAGGCACTGGCTGAACTCTACAAGAAAAAAACATCCAATCCCATCAGAAAATGGCGTAATGAAATGAACAGAAACTTTCTCAAAGAAAAAATTCAAATGGCCAAAAGGCACAGGAAAAAATGTCGTCATCACCTAATCATCAGGGAGATGCAGATCAAAACAACAATGAAATATCATCTCACAGCACAGCGACTGACACACATCCAAAAGACCAAAAGCAACCGGTGTCGGCATGGATGTGAGGAGAAAGGACTCTCCTTCACTGTTGGTGGGAATGCTGACTGGTCCAGCTTTTTTGGAAAACAATATGGATATTTCCCAAAAAAACTAGAAATTGACCTCCCATTTGACCCAGCAATACCACCTCTGAGAATATACCATAGGGGCCCAAAAATATACAGCAGAAATATCATGTGCACTCCTATTTTTATTGCAGCATTACTCACAATAGCCAGAATCTGGAAACAAACTGAATGCCCAAGAACAGACGAATGGATAAAGAAATTATGGCACATCTACAAGATGGAATACTATGCAGCTGTCAGGAAAACAAAGTCACAAAACTTGCCTATAAATGGGTGGACATGGAGAGTATCACGCTGAGTGAAATGAGTCAGAAGGAGAGGAACACATACAGAATGACTGCATTCTTTTGTGATATATAAGAAATGCATACAGTAAAAGAAGAATATCCATGACTAGGGAAAACGGGTTAGGAGGACTGGTCAGTGGTTGGAACTAACCACAAGAGTATGTGGGGCTGAGGGTAGATAAGATAGAGAAGAGACCAGTATGACAGTATAACTGGGAATGATCACACTGGACAAGGTCTAAGCGTTAAAAGCTGGTAAGGGGATAATCTTGATAACCTTTCAGTACCAACATTGCAAACCACAATGCCCAAAAGGAGAGGGGGGAGGAGAGGGGGAGAGGAGGAGGGGGAGGGAGGGAGGGAGAGAGAGAGAGAGAGAGAGAGAGAGAGCGAGCACCGGCCATAGAGGCAGGCAGGAGGTGGTGGTGGTGGTTGGGGGGGTGATGGGAGGGAACCTAGGGGCACTGGTGCTGGGATGGGTGTTGGAACACTGTATGACTGAAACCCAATCATGAACAGCTCTGTGAGGGTATAACTCACAGTGATTCAATAAATAAATGAATAAAATTTAAAAAAATTACAACTTCAAAGATTACACACTCTTTTTTTCTGAACAGAACCAGACTCCCAGGAGCCCAAACGAGTAGGGACTCCAAGAGTTGTCCTGTACTGCACAAGGTAAGCCCACTAGCCGAAGGCACTTTTCAGAACTTCAAAAAATCTACTAAGAAAGCCCGCATCAAAATAATCACTAGAATCGGTGCACTGAGGTCAAAGTAAGAGGCTAAGAGCCCCCATCCCCCCTCCCCCAACCTGCCCCTCACATTACTCAGCAAGCCGTGCCAAGTCCGTCAAGTTCTACACAGGTCACATCTCGGTTGTCTTCAAACCCTTCACCGGGCACTTGGCTTTGGCTCTAATGATTCGGTTACTCCAGGCAGTTTTCCAAACAAAAGGGAATGGTTATTTACAGTGCCCAGACTGAAATCATAAATATCATCAGCTGAATTACGCTGAAATGTCAGTTTAACTCTACAGGACAGAATCCAACATAAAGTGAGTCTGTCTTGCAGAGGTAAAAAGGATCTTAGTTATAAAAAGTAGCAAAAGGATCTTATTGTTGCTGGCTTGGACTCTGAGGTGGTCCTGCAGTGTATACCCGGAGGACAGTTTTATAGGAAGGTCCTGACACACACCATTTAGACTGGGAGCCAGACTACATTTTTCTCCCCCAAATTGTAAGGAATCAGTGGCATTCCAGTAAATTGCCCCTTTGTGAATAAAATAAGTTTACTTAGATTTTTTATGCTGAATAACTTTCTTATAGAGATCATTTTGCTTTTTCCTTAAAAAAAAAAGCTGAGATTACTTCAATCTATAGTAATATTCATAAGATAAAGTGATTAGGGCCGTATTCTCAAGTAGCTCCCTTTTAACCCTATGCATGTACCCTTCTTTAGAGGAAGATAAGCAATATGCACATATTTTTAAATAATAATACTTTTGAAGGGATTCTCACACACAGAGCCAGGAATAAGCCCTGAGGCACTTTCCAGATATAGCCCAAAAACAAAAGAAAAAATATGTATTTAATGGAACAATCTCACAAAGAGTGATTACCTGAACAAAAGTTACAAATTATGTAAACGATATAAATTACGTAAACTATAGTATGTTTGCTACAAAAAAATTTTAAGGACATGAGAATACATTTGTGTAGATAGCTGCTTGTTAATATATTTTATTTAATATATTTTAATATACAGATAAAGGATTAGAAGTAGAATAAAATGTCAGTCAGTGGTTACTATTGTCAATTCTACTACTTCTTTGTACATTTAAAATGATCCATAATAATAATTTGATTTTTAATTTAATCAACTCTTATTTATCACCATTGTTATTAAAGGGCTGTTAACATCATTAACAATACTGTTAATTATACTTTCCATGACGGTTGCAACACCACCCCCATCACCAGAGAGCTGGGTTCCCTCCACTAGTATCCAAGGGCCCCATCCAACCATTCACCAACGCCCTCAAGCTCAGATCTGTGGACAAAATCTCCAGTTTCCATGCATTTGGCCCTTTGTTGTTCTCTTGCTATGTTCATGCCCCACAAATGCGAGATCTTTTTAAACAGCCAATATTTCAAAACCATCAAGGACTTTAAAGTAGTCTCTGAAGAAAACTTCCAAATCTTCCATTGAAGACAGAGAGGAAACCGGTATTAGTGGAAATTTAGTTGTAGTTTAGGAATATTATAATTCAAAGTTCTCCATTTTCTGGAATCAAACTGAGTGTCCTTATTACAGCAATTTCATTCAAAATAATACTCAGGCAAGGAAACATGACTGAGAATACGAGGGCTTAGAGAACTGTGAGCTATAAAAACACAAATGAAAACAATTCCGAATGACTTTAATCTCACTGAGAAAGAATAAAAGGAGAAAATATGCATTGACGGGCTTCTGGAAAATAAAGGCAAAAACCAAAAACCTGCTGTCCCTCATGGGATGGGGGTGGAGCCGGCCCTTTCCTCCCCGTCCCAACAAGACTCCGAGTCACCACCCACAAACGGCCTCTCTGGCTCCTGATCAAGATGCTTAACAGCCATGATCCCAGCGACTCAGAAACAAATCTCGAAACCCAGCAGCTTTTGGCAGAAATGCCTCTGGACCCCTCAGTAGGTCACTGTCACCGAGCCACCCCAGGGGGAAAAGGGTGCTGTCCCTCCTCCTGCTCCCCCTTGGTGGCCTGGTGGCTGCCATCTTCCAGAGGCCATTAGACAGTCAGGTTTGGGCCCGCAGTGACGAGACACGCGGGGCCTCACGGGATGGGGATGGAGCTGGCCCTTTCCTCCCCAGTCCCAACGAGACCCCAAGTCACCACCCACAAACGGCCTCTCTGGCTCCTGATCAAGCTACTTAACGGCCATGATCCCAGAGGCTCAGAAACAAATCTTGAAACCCAACGGCTTTTGGTAGAAATGCATCCAGACTGCTCAGTAGGCTGCTGTCACTGGGCCCCAGAAGGGGGGAAAGGGTGCTCTCCCTCCACCTGCTCTCCCTTGGCGGCTCGGTGGCTGCCATCTGCCAGAGGCCACTGGACAGTCAGGTTTGGGTCCGCAGTGACGAGACACTTGGAGCCTCATGGTATGGGGTGGAGCCGGCCCTTTCCTCCCCATCCCAACGAGACCACGAGTGACCCCCTACAAACGGCCTCTCTGGCTCCTTATCAAGCTTCTTAATGGTCATGATCCCAGAGACTCAGGAACAAATCTCGGAACCTAGCAGATTTTGGCAAGAAATTTTGGAATTTCAAAATCGCGCGGCCACTACTGGAGCCACATGGCATCATATGTTATTCATAACCAGTAATAGAAAACAAATCGTCTACAGTTGCCTTTTCGGCAGATCTGAGTGTTGGGATAAAATCCCAAATAATAATGGTGGGTGTGTTGTCAAAACGTTGAGTGTAATCAAAGTATAGAGAGAGCAATTTGGAAATCATCTGCCCCGCAGGTGGGATGGGGGTACGCTGGGGATCTTGGTGGTAGATAGTGGGCACTGGTGAAGGTACAGGTATTTTACTGTGTGACTGAGACTTAAACCCGAAAGCTTTGTGACTGCACTCACGGTGCAGATTCAATAAATAAAATTATAAAAAATGGAAAGAAAGAGAGTAAGGCGGAGTTCATGCACAGTTCAATCAGCCTAATCAGTGGCTGAATATATAGCAGTACTCCTACAGAAAAACAAAACAAAACAAAACAAAACAAAAACCCTGCTGTCATCAGCAGAACCACAAAGTTAAGCTCACAGGCCACCAACTGGGCACCTACCTCCTTTTCCAATATTCTAGCGACTTCTCCTAGAGTCCGATCTAATGCAGAAACCTTCGTGGTGGCCCCCGAGCCACTGTCTTGAACCTGTAGTTGTTTTAGAAGATCTTTGGCTAATCGCTGAAGCCTTCAATATAAAATGAAAGGGGAGAATGATATTAGTGAGTTCAATGGCAATACTTTATTTTCCTAAACATGTGGAACAGAAATTATTTTGACTGCTGTACTGGAAATTACCGCAGCCAACACTTGCGAGAATACAAAAATAAGCTGTTCCTCAGTTTGCTGTAGCACTGTCCTGATGTTCATCGATTTGCTCCTGAGGGCACCAGTAACGTCTCACAACAAACTGTGAGACTTCTTGTTACTGTGTTTGGCATATCAAATACGTCACGGGGGGCTTGCCAGGCTTTGCCATGTGGGCGAGATACTCTCGGCAGCTTGCCGGGCTCTCTGAGAGAGGCGCAGGAATCGAACCTGGGTCAGCCGCATGTAAGGCAAACACCTTATCCACCGTGCTATCGCTCCAGCCTGTTTGCTACAGCTTTAAATTCAGGAGCATCAACCCAGTGCTCCTGGCACAAAACAGAACCAGAGGTCAGGCTGGAACCACAAGAATTCACGGGGGCAGCTGCTGTCCTCCAACTCACAGGGGCGCTATACCTGGTCGGGACTGAAGCCAGGGCAAAGATAAAGGAGGCTGGCAGAGAAAATGACTAGAAATACCTGAGCAGATTTGTTCTGTTGCTTGCTTTGGTTTGGGGGCCATACTCTGAGATCACTCCTGACTCTGTGCTCAAAGGACCATAAGGGAAGCTGGGGATCGAACCTGGGTCAGCTGGAAAGCAAGCACCTTGCCTGCTGTACTCTCTCTCCTGCCTTCCTGATCAGGCTCTTATGCTTTGATTTCAATTTCCAAAGTATACTTGAGTAAGAGCTGACAAGCACTATAACCTTGCAGAATATTAATACCACCCTCCACCCCCTCTGTCCACCAAAACCCCGTGTTCCAATTCCCGGGCTACCTGGGCACTGTCCGTCATAGCTGATGTAACTGACAGTTGCCTGGGGCAGCTACTTTCTCTAAACCAAGAAGTAACACATATTCTGGAGTTTGTGGTAATCCTTCAATAAGGGACTGCACGCAATTTTTCTCCAAAGCCCTGAGAGCCTCTGCTTCAGACACCTCACACTGTTCGAGCAATCCTCCTCTCCTTTCCTCTTGCTTAAACATTCCGACAGTGACCCGTTCTCTCCCACATCTCTCCTTCTCCTCAAAACTGTCATCCAGCTGAAGTCCAACTTCCATTCCCACCTACGCGCCCTCATTACTATTCCTTTCTTATAAAGGTGCTACACTACTTCTCTGTCGCCCTTTGTGACTCCCGCTACCCCAATTCAGCTGCAATAAGCTTTGCCCGCGTCTGTTCGGCCCTTACTGTGGGCCAGGCAGTACTTTCAGTGCTCGTATGTAGGTACCGAACCGAACTGATGACATCTGCCAGCCGTTCCCATTTCTGATCCATTGCCACACGGTAGATCCTACTAACTCTGCCAGCTGCTACTCACTCTTGCATCTCCACATAAACCTGCATCACACACTCCCCACGGTCGTCAAATATCCGCCGTCTTCATTTCCTTCTTGCTTTCCTAAGCCATCTCATTGACATGGCTTCCAGAAGGTTCCAGAGGGCAAAAAAACTCACTTTCTACCTTACACTCTGACACCTCTCTATATTTTGCCCATATTCTCTTTTTTTTTTCCGTTATAACAATGGTGTTTCCCATGTGGGGCTGATCCTGCCTTAGGGCTGCACCTCTCAGGACCCTCATCTCTTCCCTTCTTTCTGCCTCAGGGTGTCTGACAAAGTTTTCCTTTCATCCCTCCTACAATGACCTTCCCATCCATACATTATCTCCTCATCCGGTAATTTCTAGCTCAAGCGCTTTTTTCTCTATTCTGACTGTTCCTTTCCACCACAAGCTCATCACAACTCTCTCCCATGAAAGAACTTTCTGAAAGTTGGGAAAGATCTGCGTCTATCAAGCCCAACATGGTCGCTGAGGGTATAAAATACCCGGGTACATTTAAATATAGTTAGTGTGACTGAGGATCTGGAAACTAATTGCTATCTCACTTTAACAATTTAAATTTAAAACAACAACAACAAACTTATATGAGGAACCTCCACTGTACCAGATGATGCAAAAACAGCCTATTAATTCCATTCAAGTGGTTCTTATCTGCTGACTCACCACTTTAACCATTTCAATTAACATACTACCTTCTCTAAGAACATGAAATGGAAATTAATGAAGCATGGTCTCGAAAAAATATTCCTGCCCTACATGAGTCTTAATAATATTCATGACCTCAAAGGTTACAAAACATTTTCATGTTTCTGTCATTATTTAACCCCCTCAAAAAGACCATCAATTAGTATTATCTCCCTTGGGAAAAAGGAAGAAATGAAGGTTCAAGCAAATAAGGTCTCTGATCGTCAAATCTCATACCTTTATTTCCATAGTAGATTATTTTGAATTAATTTTAATTTGAATAAGTAAGGTGATTTTACCTGCCAATGAGTAATTTCCTCAAATATAATTTGAACTAAAATGTTTTATGTAATATCGGTCACGGTCACGGTCCTCCCGTTGTTCATCAATTTGCTCGAGCGGGCCCAGTAACGTCTCCTTCGTGAGACTTGTTACTGTGTTTGGCATATCGAATACGTCACAGGGAGCTTGCCAGGCTCTGCCCTGTGGGCGAGATACTCTCAGTAGCTTGCCTGGCTCTCCGAGAGGGGCGGAGGAATCGAACTCGGGTCAACCATGTTGGCTGCTTGCAAGGCAAACGCCCTACCCGCTGTGCTATCACTCCTGTACATATATATGTGGGGCTGGAGCGATAGCACAGCGGGTAGGGCATTTGCCTTGCACGTAGCCAACCCAGCTGACCCGAGTTCGATTCCTCCGCCCCTCTCGGAGAGCCCAGCAAGCTACCGAGAGTATCTCGCCTGCACAGCAGAGCCTGGCAAGCTACCCGTGATGTATTTGATATGCCAAACACAGTAACAACAAGTCTCACAATGTTACTGGGCCCGCTCGAGCAAATCGATGAACAATGGGAGGACAGTGACAGTGACATATCTGTGTGTGTGTGTGTGTGTGTGTGTGTGTGTGTGTGTGTGTATACACATATATATATGGTTTGTTTTTTTTTTTTGATAAGGAGAGTGCATAGCCTGTGGTGCTCTGGGCTTACTTCTGGCTCTGCATTCCCAGAAAAAACTCAGGGGACCATCTGGGTGCTGGGAATTGAACTTGTGTCAGTCCCATGCAAGGAAAGCACCCTATCCCCTGCACTATGGCTCCAGCCTGTTTTTATGTAATATTTTTAAAAAATTCTCGAAGAAACAGTAAATACACTTTTAAAAGACATAAAGCAACTCTAGATCAAACGTAAGCTGAGGTTTATTTTGATAAGTCAAAGAATACAAATGTTAAAATCAGAAATGTCTCTGCTTAAATTCTGGCTCCAGCGAATACCATATATACAATCCCTAGGGCATTCTGAACACCAGTTTCTTCGGCCTGAAAGGGGAGAAATGTTGCTTTCCTTCCCTCCCTCTCATAACCCAAAGAGAGCTAACATAACGTACTTAATGCCACTCAGTGATGTAGACATTTAATAAATGATCAACTCTCATTACTCTGTACGGACAGGAGGTTTCAGTCCAACAAAAGGAAAAGGGGAATTACCCGCCCTCCCCCCACGAAAGAAACACCCCCAAATCCCCATAAAAACAGAGGAAAGAATAATGTACTTTTCCCTTCTAATCAAATATGGGCTGGAGTCCCATCCGATTAAAGTTGCTGACCTTATCACGTGGACGAGTATTGGCAGCAAACTTCACTGTGTGATAGATAAGTGTCCACTCCAGCTCTTGGCTGAATCAAGTCTGCTGCCCGTGTAACTGAATATCTCAGCCGTAGCAACGGATGCGTATGAATCTAACAGTATCCTTACAGGAATGCTCACATTCCACTCACAAACCAGGGGCACTTAGGGAGGCCAGAGAACTACTTTAATTCACAGAATACAAGAGGCTTGTATTTCATCCTGAGGTCAATCAAATCTGGGATTCACAGAAACCTATGCTTCAAGGAAGAATGCCAAATCGAGGAGACGCTTTGGAAACACGACCTAAACGTCTATTTCATTCCCTGCCTCCATGGAAGTAGCCCACAAATAACACGGCCCCTCTCTAGGAAAAAAAAAATACTGAGCTTTGATTCATACTACAACGAATTACTGCAAGGCCCAGGCGTCAGGTCGTGAGAGCTATATTTTTTTCTACAGGGCAAGAACAGGAGCTGCTAGAAGGTGTCATTTTTAACAGAGAAATTGTTATCTGAGTCATTCCTGGCAGATCATTTCTCTAGCGTAAGAAAAAGCGAGCTTCAACCCCCCTTGCCTGGAACGTAAGTATCTGTCAGGTAAATGGCTTTGTGGAGAATGGTGGATGATCAAATATTTTCTTCTTGAAACTTGAACAAATGCCAGTGATAACTCTAAGTTCAAATCTATCACTGATAAATGCAAAAATGTAGAATTCTCTCTGTAGGAGCTAACTTCTATCACAGGAAAATTGTGGGCGTTCAGGGGCAAGATTAGGATTATCCATGAAAATATGAGAAGGAAGTCTGGTCCACTTTAAGAAACAACATTCTTAAGGAAGATGGACTGAAAGATGTATATACACGATTCCCCCCTCTGTCCCCCCCATAATCTCTTCTATTTGAAAGATACCTGGTCTATCTGTAGGAACAGAGGGTTCCTCTCTACTTGTACTATATATTAAGTCTGTTCTAAATAAAAGAGCTTAAAAATCCAGCTAGTACCTTTTGAAGTTCCCGATATAAGATGCTAACTGTCCATGGACATCTACTACATCCTATGCCGAATACCTTTTCATCTTCCTTGCCAGTACCACCTTCGGGGAACAAAGAGACTCCCACTTCCTCCTTTTATTGTCTGTTTCGCTTTGCTTTGCCGAGTCACACTGGGTGATGCTCAGGGCTTACTCCTGGCTCTGCACTCAGGAATTACTCCTGCTGGTAATTACTGGTGCTCAGGAGACCATATGGAATGCTGGGTTGGCCGCGTGCAGGGCAAACGCCCTCCCTATACTATTTAGTATACTACTATACTAAAGCTGTACTATCGCTCCAGCCCTTATCTTTCCCTTTTGGGGAGAGACCTCATACTCACATATGCATGAATGAACTATGGGTTCAATGCTTTCAAGCTGTTACCAGGTCCGCAATTTTGAGTGGAGTCAGAAAATATTTGCATTTTATTTACTTATTTGCTTATTAATATGTCGGTACCCCTCAAAGCTGCTGCAGGTTCCTTTCTATGAAGCACACGTTGCAATAAAGCAGGTAAAATAAAAATCAATTTTGTTTCCCAGTACAAATAAAAATGATGTTCAGTTTAAACTGTAGACTATTTAGCGCACAAAAGCATTATGTCTAAAAACATAATTCACTTATGCACATACCTCAATTACCTTACTGAAGAAAAAATCAAAAATATAATTGTCATATGACCCAGCAATTCCACTCCTTGGCACCTATCCCAAGATCACAAAAAAATTCAACTGAAAAGGATTTGTGCACACCAACGTCCGCTGGGGCACTAAACACAATAGCCAAGATAAGGAAGCAACCTGTGTTCAGTGCCAGGTAGGTGGAAAAGAAGCTGTTGCTCATGTACACAAAGAAATACTACGCAGGTATAAGAAAAGGTGGACTCAGGGATGGAGCAACAGCTCAGCGGGGAGGGCGTTTGCCTTGCACACGGCCGACCCGGGTTTGATTCCCAGCATCCAATATGGCTCCCTGAGCACCGCCGGGAGTAATTCCTGAGTGCAGAGCCAGGAGTAACCCCTGTGCATTGCTGCGTGTGACCCAAAAAGAAAAAAAAGAAAGAAAAGTTAAGGTGGATTCAATATGAGACTAATACCCAAGATCAGTAGAAACAAGGGCCAGCAGGAATGGTCCACAGTTAGGAGTTTGCCACAAGTGGTGGTAGGAGTCAGGGGGACGGCCGTTGGGATAGACAAGGGACCACTATGACAAGGATAGTTGGACATGATCACTCTTGACAAGAAATGAGTGCTGAAAGTAGGTAGAGGGACAAGCATGATAACCTTTCAGTGCCTGTATTGCAAACTGTAATGCCCAAAATTCGGGGGGAGGGGGGGAGGAGGGCGGAGGGAGAAGAAAAGGGCAACACGCACTTGATGGCACATCACTGTCACAGGCTGTGACAACCAACAAGCTAGCATCTAGCTCCAGACAAAGCCAGCCAAACGCCCCCAGCAGTGTCCTGCCCCAAAAGCCCCGGGCTGGAAACCACTGTGTCTGGGGCATAAGCTGTCACCAGCGGATCTGGGCAATGAGGGCCCAGATAAACTGGTGACAGGCAGAGACTCACAAGAACTGAAGTGGAGGAGAAAATACTCACTTTGCTTTATAAGGCGAGTCAGAGCCAGAATTTGTGGTGTCCACTAACGTTTCATATTCCTTGGCCCTGAAGAGAAAGAAAGTTTCATCACGTTTAGTTATTTCCATGCTAATGTTCATCACATAAAAATCACAGCTGCATCTTCTCCTCACAGTATCAGGGCTGCTGCTTCTTTTAACACTTGGACTGTTTTTTTTTTTTTAGGTTGCTTTTGAAAACAGTATAGATGCTTATAAGATTGAAAAAAAAATGCCTACTTGGTCATGGAGAGCAGATTCATATAAAACACAGTTGAGTTTATAAAGCCGGTTCAGAATAGTGCTGTTTTCTAAAATGTCAAAATCAGGATAAAATATGAAAGTGATAGTCTAGTGGTAGGGCGTTTGCCCTGCACGCAGCCGACAGAACCAACCTGGGCACAATTCCTCCGCCCCTCTCGGAGAGGCCGGCAAGCTACCGAGAGTATCTCGCCTACATGGCAAAGCCTGGCAAGCTACCCATGGCGTATTCGATATGCCAAACACAGTAACAACAAGTCTCACAATGGAGACGTTACTGGGCCTGCTCGAGCAAATCAGTGAACAATGGGAGGACAGTGCTACCGTTTCTGTAAGGGAGGTAAAGCTCTTGAATGTCAAGTTATTTCCAGAGAAAATATAATGCAAAAATGGAGGCTGGAGTGATAGTACAGTGCGAAGGGCATTAGCCTTGCACGCAGCCAATCCAGCTTCAATGTCCGGTACTCCATCTGGTCCCCTGAGTACCACTAGGAGTAATTCCTGAGTGCAGAGCCAGGAGTCTCACCAGTTGTGACCCAAAAATGATATATTGCAAAAAAGAGGGAAAAACACTGTCCTCTGAGTTCAAAAATAACTTCAAAGGAGATAGGAAAAAATTGGCCAGATATCCAACCTGAAGCAGTAGGTGAGACAGAGCCCACCAGCCAATAACAGACCACCAATCTCAGGCATGTGTCCCTACAGCAATTCACTACTATTTCTTTGGCCTGTCAAGCTTTCTTTTAGAAGGATAAACACTAATTAAAATTTTAAATGGCCACTCAAAGTAAGCTAGTCTCAAAGAATCAGTCAACATTAGCCAATTCTGGTTATAACGACAGAAAAAAAAGAGTAAGCACTGCTTCTTTGCAAAAAATTGTGAATGCTACATAACACAACAGCCCGAAGGAAGAAAACACAAACTAGCACAGGTGACTAAAGGAACCCTAAGTTAGAATTAAACATTAAAGTAGGAATTGCTTCAACCTACGCATGCTCGCCACTGTCAGCCAAAATCTTAAGGCATATCAAATGTGGAAATATTGACTCTGCCAGCGTAAGGGATTGTCTAAGGAAATATGAGAATAAAATAACAACTATGCAGGGTGTGATGTGCTCCAAGCCTTGTTCCAAAAGTCACATTTCACCCAGTCCTAAAATGGTGCCACAACCCATTTCACATGGATGCTAAGGAGTGTTGTACCAAAACTTATGTTAAAAATACACGCATTTGGGAAGGACCAAACCCATTCTCCAGATGAACAATCCTATCCCCAAACTCCTCTTATTAGCTGAGGTGGTAACTGGCCACATTACCCAAAATGGGGACCTTGACACCATTTATTCTCAGCTGTCATTGCAATAATCGTTTCCAGAGTTTTCTATGCTATGAAAACTACAGAAGACCACGGGGAGATATAAGATATACCACAGGGATTTAGGAAATGATAATGGGGATATTCTAGCGCATAGTCTTGATAAGGTGAAGACATGGCAGCATTAAACATACATAATTCTACAAAGCAGAAGCGAACAAGCTCTATGGCCACAAGTCGTTTCTAGCTTAGTGGTGATAGGTTTCCTGAAGTAAATGTATTATGTGCTTGAGTGAAAGACAGGCAGCCATAAAATCGCACAGGAAGAGGAAATGGCATTAATATTCGAGAAAAGAAAGCAAACAAGGCTGAAGAGCGAGGAAATTATGCTTAAGGAACAGCGGATAGAGAGATCCAGTTTGTGGATGCACAGGACTAAAATATGAGAACTGGTGAAAGACTAAAAAGAATCCTTTCTGCGGGCTGGAGCAACAGCTCAGTGAATAGGGCATTTGCCTTGCACGTGGCTGACCCGGGTTCGATTCCCAGCATCCCATATGGTCCCCTGAGCACTGTCAGGAGTAATTCCTGACTGCAGAACCAGGGGTAACCCCTGTGCATCACCAGTTGTGACCCAAAAAGCAAAAAAAAAAATAGATAAATAAAAAATTTAAAAAAAGAATCCTTTCAGAAAGCCTATTAAGTTCTGATGATTTTTAGATAATAACCCATTAAGATTTTCAAACTTTCAGGCCAGAGAAATAGTACAATTGTATACTGCACTTCCTAGATATGTGGATTAGTAGAATAACTCCAAAGTTCTCAACCTTCTAACTTCACCTCCATAAAACAGATGACAAATCTTTCCAAATCATTAACTCCTGATGCTATTTCATTGGTTAACTTTCAAAGTACTTCTTTTCCAAAACATCTATTTAATCTGGTAAACATACAAGGACATCCATAACTTGATCCTATTTTATTTTAATAGATTTCTAGTTTTGCACACTATCGTCTATATTTTATGTCTGAATTTGCACACTCACTATACTTAAGACATCTTGAGTGTTTTTTCTTAAACGTAGAAAAATCGTCATGATAAGATATGTCCACCAGGGGGCAGTACACCTTAATACCTACAGAGAATAATGCAGAAGGCAATAGGAAAAAATCACTTTTATCCTTCAACATTTCAATTGATATAGACATGTAAACATTAGAAGAAGTGGGATAACGGTCTATCAATTCCTCCAGAATATCCCGCTGAGAGCCCAAAACCATGTATCACCATCTCTGTGTCATTACACGCACCCTCCCCACTTGCACCCACATATAAGGTGAGGGTATGAATTTACACTGGTCAGCGATCATCACCTAAGATCCTCTCATAATCACCACTGTGTGGCCAATGGCCATGTCTCTGGTGAGGGTCTTAGCAACTTTCAAATAATGCTGTATTCTATTATTCCATGTAATGTATCAGTCAACAATGGTCACCAGGCTGTACCTGTGACCGTGGACCTGCATCTCACCATCTCCCCTAACAGCAGCATTTTGAGATTCTACATATAAGTGCCTCATTCACTGTTCTCCGATTATTCTCCTTTGGTATAATGTCCTCAAGATACAGACAAGTTGTAGCAAAAGGCCGAATTCTCTCTCTCTCTCTCTCTCTCTCTCTCTCTCTCTCTCTCTCTCTCTCAAAGAAAAGGGTGTCCTCTATTTCTGTCAAGAATGTCACAGTAAAGCTGCATTCTCCAGAGTCGCCACCAATGCCTGCCTGGCTCCCTCTCTCTCTCACTAAACCTCCGTAAAATCTATCAGGTTTGTTTTTTTCTACCCAACTCCTTAATGTTTATCTGGGCCAAACATTTTGGCCTTTGATTTTAGCCCTAATTGAATTACTTGTCTAATGACTGTTTTTTTCCTACATGCAGCGTCCTTAAGAAAGATGTGATAATTTACGGCGCAGGGGTTAATGCACTAGCCTTGCAAGCACAGACCCGGGTTCAATCCCGGGCACCTCATATGGTGCCCCAGCACCCCTGGGTGTGACCCCAGAGAACAGAGTCAGGAATAGCCGCCCCCCCACCCCGAGCACTGCTTTCAGTGACCCAACCACAACTCCAACTGAAGCAGTAAAAAGATGAATATAAACTTTTTAAAAGACAGCACAAAGAAAAATAAGACTGAGAACTGGATCTTACACTAAGACAATGACAGTTGGAGGAATCATTTGGGACGGGAGATGTGTGCTGAAAGATGAAAGACCAAACATGATAACTGCTCCGTATCTGTACTGCAAACCCTAATGCCCAAAAGTAGAGAAAGAGTATAGGGGAAATTGTTTGCCATGAAGACAGGAGGGTGGGAAACGGGGGATATACCAGGGACATCGGTGGTGGAGAATGTGCACTGGTGGAGGGATGGGTGTTTGATCATTGCATGATTGAAACCCAAACATGTAAGCTTTGTAACTGTATCTCACGATGATTCAATAAAAAAAAAAAGCTGGATCTTTTTTAAAAAAATGCCATTAGCTGGGCCTACGAATGAAAAAAAGAAAACCGTAAAAATAGAAATCAATGAGCTACAGAGATAGTACAGGGGTGCAGGCACTTGCCTTGCACACAGCTGCCCTTGGCCCTGAGCACTGCCAGGAGTGATTCCTGAGCACAGAGCCAAGAGTAAGGATAGAGCAGTGCCAGGTATGACCCAGCTCCATCCCAATAAAAGAAACAGAATCAGGTCGGAAGTTATAGCCCAGCATGCAGGCACTTGCCTTGTACACAGCTGACCCCAACCCCAGGTGGTGGTCTCCTGAGCCCTGCCAAGAATGATCCCTGAGTACAGTACCAGGAGGATGCCCTGAGCACTGCTGAGTCAGCCAAATAGCCCCCCAAAACAAAACAAACAAAAAAAAAAGAGAATCAGAAACAAAAGGGAAGAAAAGACAACAGACATCACAGAAATCAATACCAAGGATCAGATGAGATCACTAAGAAGAATTTCCTATTACTAATTTATAACCTTCCAGACTGAATAGGGAGACAAGAGAAAACCTGTCGAGGCAAGAGACCGGAACAGTGATCCAAAGTCTGGATCTCTGAACAACAGCTTCTCCAGACAGGAGCCTAGGTCCAGGGAGCCTGATAGGGAAGTTTTAGCAGACTTTCAGAGATCACACATAATCAAATCTTTCAAAATAATGAAAAGGGAATTCTTCCAAGCACTTTCCATGAGGCCAACATTATTCTAATACAGAAAGTAGGTTAAGACGTCACTAAAAATAAAAACTCTACCAATATCCCAAACATAATTGCAAAAAGATCCTTAATAAAACCAAATTCAGCAGTACATTAAAACGATCATTCATCATAATCACGTGGAACTGATAACAAGGACGCAAGGATGGTCTGACACTGAAAAATTAATGCAACAGGGGTATCTCGACAGTACAGGTAGAGCCCTGAACACAGTCAACCTAGGTCTGATCCCCAGCGGCCCATATGGTTCCCAGGCCCAACAAGAATGACCCCTAAGCACCCTGTCAGCCCTGAGCACCACAGGCTCTGGTCCCCCACAAAAAATTAATGAACATTATCATATCAACAAAAGAAAAAAAATCAAAACCATGCTATCATATCAACCGATGCAGAGAAAGCTTTTAATGTGATTCCTCATGCTCAAACAAACAAAAACCCAAAGTTCTAACACAGAACACTCCAGAGCCAGAAAGTTTCACTCTGAATTCTACCAGTCATCTAAAGAAGTAACACCAACTCCCCTCTATTATCTAGGAAGAAGGAAAACTAATAGATTCATTCCACAAAACCAGTACTACCTAGGTACCAAAACTAGATAGGGATTTATAAAGCTATAGACCAACCAGACAATTATGAATACAGATACCAAAACCTACAGAGATATATATAAGTATACATGAATATATAATCAGCAAACTTAATTCAAGAAAACATGAAAAGGACCATGGCCACGTGTGCTTTAGCCCTAAGACATAAGGACGGGTCACAATACATAGATTGAACACAGTAAAAGGAAGCACAAAAACCACACAATAATGATGCAGAAAAGGCATTTGATTAAAATACACTCTATTTTTATAATGGAAACCCTCAAAGGACTGGGTATAGAAAGAACATATCTCAATTTATTCAAGCCTGTATACAATAAGTTCACACTAATATTAAGAACTGGCAGGACAGAAAAAATAAAAGTGATCCAAGTTAGAAAGAAAGCAGTCATTCTTTGCTGGTGATATGGTATTATATATAAGTACATATTAAAAATATCAACAAATTAATTTTAAAACGACTGGAATTGAGAATTGTAGAGACAAGGCAGGACACAAACTCAACTTACGTCAGAGAGCTGCATTCCTTTACAAGAATGATGAACAATCACAAGCCCCATGGCAATAGCATCAAAATTTAATCAAGGAAGTCAAAGATACAGGCAAGCAAAAACTCAAGGCATTGGTGAAGAAACTTGAAGGCAGAAACAAATAAATGGGGCTGGGGAATGGTACAGCAGGTAAGGTGCAGTCCTTGCACTTGGCCAACCGTGACTCAATCTCCAGCACTCCATGAGCCCCTGAGCCATGCCAGGACAGATTCCTGAGCACAAAGCTAAGAGTAAGCCCTGAGCACTGCCAGTGTGGCCCCAGAACAAAGCAAAAAAACTAAGAAGATACATGTTTTCAAGAACTAGAAGAATTATATGTTTTCAAGAACTAGAAGAATCATTATTAAAATTGTGTTACATGTTATTAAACATTATATAATGTTATGACATGATACTGCATAACAATTTATCAAAGGATATATTTAATACTAGCAAACAATATTAGTATAAATTATAATGAATATTTAATTCTTATTAAGTTAAATAATATAAATATTCCATTTATATTAATAGTCATCCATGAAAATTCAAATCATAATGAGACCCTACTATGCTTCCAATAATTGAAGTAGGCTAAATTCTTTTTAAACAATACCATATACTGGTAAGATTCTGGAGTATCGTGAATTCCCACAGACTGCTGATGGGTGTGGAAAACAACAGTATAAGGATTATGGAGACAGTGTGGTGATTCTACCTTAAGGTATTTATCCAAGTGAAATGAAGAATATATATACACTCAAAGACTTGACAGGAGCTATATGCTCAAACGGTTACCTATAGATGGATGGACTGTGGCACTGTAGCACTGTCCTCCCGTCGTTCATCTATTTGCTTGAGCGGGCACCAGTAACGTCACCATTGTGAGACTTGTTGCTACTGGTTTTGGCATATCGAATATGCCATGGGGAGCTTGTCAGGCTCTGCCGTGCGGGTGGGATACTCTCAGTAGCTTGCCGGGCTCTCCGAGAGGGATGGAGAAATCAAACCCAGGTCGGTCGCATGCAAGGCAAACACCCTACCGCTGTGCTATTGCTCCAGCCCATAGATGGATGAATCTATAAAAATTTATAGCACTTGCACACAATGGATATACTCAACAATAAAAGATCTACAGACATACAATGACACGCATACAGACATACAATGACACCCAGACATACAATGGGTGACAAGAGTAATCCCTGAGCCCAGACCTAGGAGTCAGCCCCAAGCACTGCTCAGTGTGGCCCCCAAACAAACAAACTAACAAACAAAATCCCCTTTCTGGGCCAGAGTTCAACAAGTTGGCAAAAAAAAAAAAGGGGGGGGGGGAAGGAGAGGAAAAGGAAAAAGAAAAAGATGATGAGTTGACTGAAACAAAGATGACGGGATGAGGAGGGGTTTGGGCAGGGGGGACTGTAGAGCGTTGGTGAAACTGAAGATCTAACACGGGTGGTCACTGGCAAAAAGAGAATGCCCGAAGCCAGAGCCTGAGGAGCTCCTAAGGAGTACAGACCCCTGGAGGGGCTCCCTTTCAGTGCCTTGGTGTCAGGGCCTAGCAAGCGCTCAGCATGCCTTGGGAACGAAGGCCGCTAAGACTCCCAAGGACACCGTGAAATGACTTTCGGAAACTTGGTAGGGCTTAATGAAACGGAAGTAGGGCGCAATGGCGCAACAGGTAAGGCACTTTCCTTGCACACGGCTGGCTCAGGTTCAATCCCCTGCGTCCCATATGGTCCCCCCGAACACTAAGAGGAGTGATCCCTGAGTGCGGGCAGGGAGTCTGCCTTGCATGTGAATGACCCAGCACCTGGGGCCACATCCTGAGCATCTCTGGGCATGGCCCCCAAACGAAAAAACAAATCAAAAACCCACCAATGAGATGGAAGTAAGCCTCATCCTCCTTGACCTGAGCAAGCGCTCCAGAGTGAGTGTTCACTGCTTTCCTAGCATGGAACTGATACTTCCTCTGCTGACCCCAAACTTGACCCCGACAGAGTTATAGGACACTTGTCACGCCCCAGCACTTCTCTTCCTGTGATTCCCAGGATCCAGTTCCACGGTCTTTTCAAGACAACTGGGAATAAAGGGAGCAGCACATATTCTGGACCGCCCTTCCCTCCAAAGGCACGGAATGATCTAGAAAGAAGGCACTCGAGGTCCTGATAAAAGCCTCATCAGTCACCAGAAGGCACTCGTGCCCGTAAAGTGATGATGTGCCACCGAGCCGTCGGATCTGCAGATGCCACCCGGAGGCTGATGATGAACTACAGGTCTCACCGCTGGCTCTCCAGCCCCAGATATTTCTTAAACTTTTTCTTGTTGTGACAGGCGGCCAAATTGATTAAATCTAGTCACGGGGTTGGACGCTACCGCCGGCAGACCTCTATTTGTTGATTGCTATTGATTTTCTCTGATACTTCATTTAAAAATCAATAGCTGGAAAGAAAAATAGGCTTGGTTTACACATACTTAAACATACTATTGCATGCTGGAGGAGGCACAAGTTTGGCAGGGCCTGGGCAGCCAATTATAAAAAGAGCTCTTAACAGGTGAAAGCCAGGGCTTTAGATCAATATGCAGTTTTCCTTCTCAATCAAAGAAAGTGGTCATAAATTAGACTCATCAGTGCTATTTTCAAGGATTTCTTGATGCAAACAACTTTAAACCTTTTTTTTGGGTGAGGGGGTGAGGGGACCAGGGTATTCACATTCAAAAAGGGTACATCATGATGAGGGTATTTTTTGGTGTTAAACTGGGGAGGAAAAGCTTATGGTACCTGGAGTTCATCCGGGCCTTTATCTTTTTGGCTCGTTTTTTATTTTTTTGCCGCTCTTCTCCATCTTTTGAAGGCTCTGGTGGAGCTGCAGTCTCGACCACAATGTCAATAACGTACTTCTTTAAGGAAAGATGCTCCTGAAAGATAAAAAAAAAAAAAAGAACATAATGATTGAATAAAATAGCACTGAATCGACTCCAGGGAGTATGAAAGGTCATAGTGAGGAAACCGAATGCAGTCGTCACAAAATACTGGTTTCCATGTGATGCTGAAGAAACAATAAACTAATTGCTACAACTCGAGCTTTTAATAGACTCATCAAGCCTTCCCTGGACCTCAATTCTGCGAAATGCTTAAGGACACAGGCACACAATACCTGTCCACTTGCAGTAGGAGAGGTAAAAGATAAACACTGGATCTAGAATAATGCCATTTAGAGCAAAGAGAATGTGCCAATTCCAGAGCTGGAATGCGTCATGAACTCAAAGGGGAGTAGAGATCATAGTTCACTGGGTGTAAAAGAGGAAAATTTTGAAGAAAGGGGCACTTTCTTGTCCTCACGCACAGTCTCACAGATAGCCAATCCAAGTTTGATTCCTGGCACCCCATACGATCCCACCAGGACCAGGAATGAACCGTGAGCACAGAGCCAGGAAAGAGCCCTGAGCACAGCTGGGTATGGCCCAAAACAACAACACAACAACAACAACAGAAAGAAGCAGCAGGGCCAGGGAGATAGTACTGACACAGGTTTAAGCCTCAGCACCGCACGTAGTCCCGAGTACCAGTAAGATGATCTCTGAGCAAAGAGCCAGGAGCAAACCCTGAACTCTGTCAGCTGTGCACCCCCCACTTGTCCCCGCCAGGGAAAAAAATAAAGCAGCACCATGTATTCGATCCCCTCGTACAAGGGACATACAAATGTAGATTTGTGAGAATTTGGGAATTAGGGCTTGCAGTTGGGGAAAAGTGGCAGAAAGGAGCAAGGAATGGGGCAATCTAGAAAACACAGCAGAGATGAGACAGCGGCTGTGGTGACTGGCAGCAGAGGCTTCTTTCGGCCTGAGAACACACAAGTTTCCCTCACTTTCCACCTTTCCTGCCCAAGAGCGAGAACCACTGCCCTGCCTGGGTGGGTCTAGCACTTGGGTAGGAAATGTGACCGGAGACTACAACTAAGAATGCTGAACGGCATGTGCTAAAGCAGGTTCTCATCCTCACAAGAAAGAGCAAATTTCTAACAGTATGATGGACAATAATTAATAGTCACTGCAGTAATAATGTTTGCAGTAACTCTAGATATCAAACATCATGTTGTTTGCCTAATACAATGGTATATGCCAGAGATACCTGAATAAAAATGGCAAAAAAAAAAAAGTACGTGTTCTCATCCATCTGTCAGTTTCCCTCTCTCCTTTTCCACTTCTCCTTCTTTGACAGTCTCGTTTTTATAATCTACGGTCAAGGGTTTGTCACCATTTGATACTTCCCAAACTGTAATAAGTTAAAAAAAAATTGCATGAGTTTTCTAAGGAGGTGGAGTCGGGAGAATGAAGAAAATTGGCTTCACGGGTGGGAGGGTTGCTGACACGGTGGTCGGTTTGGGGTCAATGCAAAAATGGGGCTCACATTTCAATATAAATCGAGCTACGTATTTGATCTATCATCATTCACTTGGATGAGGGTTCTTTGGATATTATTTTAAAAATTACTTTCTATTATTCACAGTTGGCTATGAAAAAAAAATAGACAAAGAGCCTGCTCAAAGTCAAAAGGTCAAAATTACACAAACAACACAGCACATGATGAAATCACAGAGGTTAAAATTTGAAACCAGACAGTATGAGCAGGGAGACACACATTTTTTCTCTAATTATTTAAGCAGCAATGACACGAAACAGCATTTTTCAGAGCTTCCGCACTGCAGTCTGATATCTGTATGTATGACATTATGATTACTACCAAAACTTTAGTTTCAACTTTAGTTTCAAAACTTTAGTTTCATCACCAAATATTCCCTTTATCCAGTTTAGCCCACACACTCACTGCCTTCCCCTCCGGTAACTACCACTTTGTTCTTACAATGCAGGAGTTTATTTTGTTTGTTTGTCATGTTTATCTTCCATGTGTGTCTACTATCTTATAGACACAGCGGAAAAATAGAGAACTGTGTGCATCATTAAACTTTTCAAATTATAGACCTACCCAAGCAAAAAACCCATTCTATAGTCTAAAGGAGATCTACACAGTTATCATCTTAATGTACGTGTCTTCAAATCTCTGATGCTAAGAGTTTACTGTAACATTTATAGACAAAAGCATTTGCACAACTTGACTTCCTTATGGTAATTTGGCAATTTACGGCATCTTTAAAATGCCAAGCAATGTCTACTTCATTTTTGCCCGATATTTAATTCAATAGTAAGTAGACTGGCTGGCAAGACCATATGGTTGTGTCGCAGTGGGACATGGAAAGCCCTAGTCTGGGGGGGTCTGAGTCACAGTTACACAAGCAATACATGAAGCGGAAGGAGGTGAGGTCGTGTGTCTTCCAGCTGGTTCCTTGGTGTTTTTAGTAAAACTATCACCGCAGGTCAGAGCCCAAACATTGGGTTCTGGGTTCAGGGCAGAGCAAGAATCTAAAGCCATGAGTTAGAGCGTGGAAATCAGGAAGACCCCCATTCTTCTGGGATGGAATACCGCTGGGGACAGATGAGAGTGAGGAACAGGAGGTGCTGCCTGCCCGTGTCCAGACGCCCCAGAACTGCCTGAAACCCCGGATGCCAGACGTGCAGCCCCAAGACTGCTCTCGGCAGGGACCTCCTAGCTCTTTTGGCGGGGCTTCTTGTGAAGACAGATGTGCACAGAGACTCGGATGAGGCGCACTTGAACCGTTATTCTAACCGGCTCCATAAAGCAGAGCTGCCCAGCACCGTTTCTTGGGGAGGCTCTGTTTACTTCCTCTCCTGCAGCTGCCAATTAACCTGAGCTCTGTCTCTTATCGAGGAAATACTGGTTTACGACACTGGGTGGGTTTGGGGCGAGCGGTTTCTAACTCTGGCCACTGTCTGTGTCACACCACGTCCACAGCCCCACACCCTCCGCTGCTAAACAGCCCCCCCCATCGGAGTCTCTGGGCTCCTTCTGTCTGCTTGCTTGATTTCTTGTATTCTGCAAGGGAGTGGAAAAAATAGCGGATTTGTCATCTTCTCTCTTTCTGAATCATTTCAGTGTCACTGTCACGGTCCTCCTGTTGTTCATCGATTTCCTCAAGCGGGCCCAGTAACATCTCCATTGTGACACTTGTTACTGTGCTTGGCATATCGAATACGTCACAGGGAGCTTGCCAGGCTTTGCCGTGCGGGCGAGATACTCTCACTTAGCATTAAATCCTCTTAGGGTGCATCCATGTTTTTGTAAATGGCAAGATGATACCTTGTTATGATTGAACAGTATTTTACTATGAGTATATACCACCTCTCCAATCAACTACTGCCAGGTGCCTCGGCTGTTTCATATAGTATCGTGCTATTAAGCATAGTGAGTATGTGCAATGGACATACAGATGTGTATTCATACACACACACACACACACACACACACACAATATACACAGACTTACCAGACCTTTTCATTGAAGGAGGCTTAATGAGATATAGATTTGATTAATTTTTTTTTTCCTTTGTGGGTCACACCCGGCGATGCTCAGGGTATTCCTGGCTCTGCACTCAGGGATTACTCCTCGCAGTGCTCAAGGGATGCTTGAGAATCGAACCCGGGTAGGCCACGTGCAAGGCAAACACCCTACCCATTATGCTATTGCTCCAGCCCGATCTGATTAATTTTAAATAATGGTAATACTAATACATCCACTGTAAACAAAATTCATTCATTGTAAAATGATAACAAAAAACCTCAGGCCTCATACTTATGCAGTGCTATTTATACATAAACAAGTGTGTATGATTTCTACATTCATATATGAAGAGGAGGAAATAATCAGAACAAAGTGTTAACAGCAGACAGAAGTATTTTTTCTCAAAATTATCACACTGGATTTCCACAAGTGAATATATTTTAATCACTATGAAATTAATGCTAGTAGTAAACAATAGTAAATTTAAATAGAGCTCATGTGTCTGAGATTACAGTTTCAATAGCTTGCTTGTTTGTTTTGTAGAAGAGTTAGTGTAACTGTAAAATACACTCATCTTTTTGTGTCTACTCACAATTCCAAGTATTATGCCACAGAAAAAGCAAAATTTTCTCTTTGAGACACAGTATCTATGATTTACTTGGTAATTTTCAAGCTATAAATTAATCAGAATTAAAACTTGCACAAAGATCTTTGGCTCTTTCTTTCCTGACATAATGTCAAAGATTCAGCTTCTTGGTTCAACGAGAGTCTGTTCCCCTATTAACATCATAGAAATGTCTTAGTTGGCTACTCTATTTGCCACGTTTATTTTAAATAAGTATTAATAGTCTACAACAGTCACTGATTTTTCTTTATGTGCTTTAAGTATGAGTCAAAAGATCTACACTAGGATAAATTCTGAGACTAACTCTTAACTTCTATGGAACTCAGTTTTCTCTCTAATAAAAAAGATTATTCAGCAATAAATTCTAACATGCAGTGAAACAATGATAGCTAACGTGTGCGCACACACACACACACACACACACACACACAAATTAAGTCCTTTTAACTCACCACTGTGAATTCTCATTTAAACAACATAGCTACGAGATGAAATACTAATAATACATATAACGAATGCCTACACAGAAATTTCTATACAGACATGATCTCATCAAAGTTGATACTCTTCTAATTCTTTTAATTACCTTTTATGGCACACTAGACAAAATCTCTGGCCTTTCGAGCATAATTTACTATATAAAATGAAATAATTCATGGTGGAGTTTATGACCTTGATATTCTATCAGATTCCTCCTAAAGGTTCTCAGAGTTCTTTGATTTTTAAAGGAGACATGAAAAAAATTACATTATTGGTAGGTTAATGATCTTTGAGAAAGAATGTGAAAGTTCCAAAGATAGGTTAAGCAAGAAAAAATAAATGGCATAAAATCATTTTATTAAACTGCCACTTTTAGAGCTCTCTCTGATATTGCC